CTGGAAGCTGATCTTAAGCTGCCAGAAGTGGAGGTAGATACACCCAGCTTGGATGTGGAGATTGGAGATAAGGGCAAAATGAAAATTCCTAAAGCAAAGATGCCTAGCGTCAAGGTCCCCAAGGTCAAAGGGCCAGAAGTAGGGATCTCCCTGCCGAAGGTTGAAACTGATGTTGCCCTTCCCAAAGTAAAAGCTGAGGTGTCTGATGGTGCAGAGGCTGTAAAATTTCCAGAGGCTGAAGGCACCATTGACGGGGGAGGACTGAAGATACACATGCCAAAGTTCAAGATGCCCAGCATTGGATTCTCCAAACCAGACATCAAGGGCCCCAAAGTCGATGTGGATGTCAGTATGCCTAAAGTGGACGTTTCTCTTCCCGAAGCTGAGATCCGGGTTGAGAAACCTGAGGTGAAGGGAGGAGACATTACCATATCATCTCCTGAAGTAAAGATTCCAACAGACTCAGCCAGCCTTGAACTGAAAGCTCCCGACGTAGCCGTAGAGCCTCCATCTGGAAAGGTTTCTGAACACGGCCCCGATGTCAAGCTGGAAAGCGGGGATAGAAAGTTACAAATGCCTAAGTTCCATATGCCCAAATTTGGAATTTCGCTGCCCAAAGGGACTGGTGCCCCAGAGGCAGAAATCGGCGTCGCTTCTGTGGAAACAGACTTGCCGAAGACAGAATTGAAAATGGAAATGGCACTGCCCTCTGTGGAGCTTGAAGCTGATCTTAAGATGCCAGAAGTGGAGGTAGATGAACCTAGATTTGATGTGGAGATTGGTGATAAGGGCAAAATCAAAATGCCTGAAGCGAAGATGCCTAGCGTCAAGGTCCCGCATCTCAAGGGGCCAGATATAGGGGTCTCCCTGAGAAAAAAAATTGAGGCCGATATCACACTTCCCAAAGGAAAAGCTGAAGTGTCTGATGGCGGAGAGGCCGTAAAATTGTCAGAGCCTGAAGGCACCATCGATGGGAGAGGACTGAAGATACAGATGCCAAAGTTCAAGATGCCAAGCATAGGATTCTCCAAACCAGACATCAAGGGCCCCAAAGTCGATGTGGATGTCAGTATGCCTAAAGTGGACATTTCTCTTCCCGAAGCTGAAATCCAGGTTGAGAAACCTGAAGTGAAGGGAGGAGATATTATCATATCATCTCCTGAAGTAAAGATTCCAACAGACTCGGCCAGCCTGGAACTGAAAGCTCCCGACGTAGCCATAGAGCCTCCATCTGGAAAGGTTTCTGTGCAGGGCCCCGATGTTAAAATGGAAAGCAGGGATAGGAAGTTCCAAATGCCCAAATTCCATATGCCCAAATTTGGAATTTCAATGCCCAAAGGGAAAGGTGTCCCAGAGGGAGAAATCAGCATACCTTCTGTGGAAGCAGAGTTGCCCAAGAGAGAATTGAAAACAGAAATAACACTGCCCTCTGTGGAGTTTGAAGCTGATCTTAAGGTGCCGGAAGTGGAGGTAGATGCACCTAGTTTAGAAGTGGATATTGTTGAGGGCAAAATGAAATTGCCTGATGTTAAGAT